ACAGAGCACAGTATAAGGCAAGTGCCAAGTCCCTGACCCTCTGGCTCAAAGTCTGACATCTTTTTGCTTTCTTCATTATTTCTTTCTTCTTACTGTTTAGAAACACAGGAAATCCCAGAAACACTCCCAGGGAAATTCACCAGCTTTAACACAGTGCCACTGCAATGATCTAGATTGTTCTAGACATCTCTATGGTGCTGGCAAAAATTAAAGAGTATCTTTGACAGACTTGTGACTTTCTAGAGTGACATTTGGGGGCCACATGGATAACCTGTAGCATTTAAAATGCCATTGAGCATCTATATTCATACACCTGAACAGCTCTCTCTTATGACCCTTCTGGTGACAGGGCTAGAATTTAAAGATACAGAAAAAAAAAATCTACTTATGTTCCTTGATGTAACACTACTCACACCATCCAAACAATCCTATGAAAAGAGAGATTACTAATTCAATTGTTCCACATTTAGGGACTTCCCAGATGCTTTAAGAATTCTTGTGAAATTGTTAGCCTGGCTCTTTGGACTCAAGCTACAATGTGTGTCTCACGTATGATCCAAGTTTGAGTTTATTTTTTTTTGCTAGGAAAAAATGCTATTAAAAAGCTTTCAGCATTTACAACCTAAAAAACCTGGGATAAAAGGCCTCCTGTCTTAAAGGCTGATAAAATACAGAGATTGCAAACTGCAGTTTCAATACAATTGTCTATGTTTGTCTGCTTGAGAAGCAGCTTTTTTACACTATATGGAGGCTAAACATTTCACCTATTTCATAATATCAGTAATAGAAGAATTGCTCTTCCATTATAATCCCATTTTATGTTTAAATCACAAAGCAGAACCTCTGTTTCATTATTGCTTAATGCCAGAACAAATGTTATCCTTTTCCTTTTGGAGAATTATAAACTGTGTCTTTATTTACTTTCATGGCACAATTTTCACACATTTGACAGATCATTGCTCATGTTCTTCATTGTCATGATACTAGTGAAATGTAGCATAAGCTCTGAATTTGCCACTGCTGTCCAATCAATAAAAAGATCACACCATCTGAATAATGCTATGATATGTGACATTATCTATTCAACTGTTCTATTTCTTGGGACTTGTGAATACTGTCACATTGAAAATGAACACCATTTATGCTGACAGAATTTTCACCATTCAACACTTTTAATGAATGTATTTCAAAATGAGGTACCAGATTAAATAAATTTCATGTCATATCAAAACAGAGATATCATTATTTGTAGCAGCAAAGTTCCAAGTAAATTACAGTAGACTTACACATGCAATGCATTCAGCAAGAATAGGGTTTTCAAATAGCATAAATCTTGTTGGATGTCAACTTGCCACAGCAGTGATATGTAGACCTTATTCTCCATATTTTCATGACAAGAACAAAAGTGTGTTTTGGCATAGTTTTCTAATGCATCAAACCAGTATCCAACCTAGAATTTTCTGCTAACACAAAAATTTACTAAGGAAGCTCTGTACCTTCAGGAACAGACTCCTATATCCTTCATTGCCTAAAGAGGGCTATTACCATACATTTTTGCCATAAAAATATTCTATCTAGAAACTTTTCCCATGGCCATGTTATTTTAATGTATGCATTGGATCTAACAGTCTTTTTCCCTTCATGAGGTATCCTTTCTAACAGAATCACACCATTTCTGGAAGAATGGCTCTGGGATAGGCTCTCATTTGAATTACCAAGTTCTTGTCCTACACGGTACATAACATTCTTACAGTGCAACAAGAATTACTTATACAGAACAAACCACTACTGCTAAGCAGGGCCTTCAGAGCATGAAACTGTAGCAAAGTTTTTTGTGAAAAAGTTTAAAAATGGATCAGTGTTTTTCTGAGTGTAATATCTTGGTACCTAAAGTCTTTCAGTGTCTCCAGACAAGAGTACCTTTGTCTTTTAGTAAAGCCAGTCCTGAGAGGGTTAAATGAAATTTATGGACAATAATGTAAAGATTGACAGTAAGAAAGACTATATAAAAATGGTTTATCAGAATTTGTGTGATTTAGAAGTGTTTCAGTCAGCTATTGTACTGTAAAAAAATGAAATTGCAATAAACTTCATTCTCAGACCTGATTATCTCACTATTTCCATATGCAAGCAAATGAATTCACATTCCATTAAAATAATAAGAACTGTATGTCATACTTACAAGAATACTGGGAATCTAATATAGACTTCCCACCACAGACCTATTTGTTTGTGGTGTAATAGTAAAAGCCACCATGTTTTCAGTTCTGTCTGACACTAGCTAACAAAGTTATGTAAATCCTGCCGTATGAAAAGACCTGAGATAGGATTCCTAGAGTGAGCTCCTATTGTCCTAGCATAATATTCACCAGAGATTTTCCTTGTGTCTGACTCTCTATATGCTCAATATGTGCAGTAGAACTCGTGAGATGTTCATTCTTTAGAACAGTGTTCTTCCAGTTGTCAAGGCAAAAGATGTGAGGAAACAGCTTCTCAGCAGAGGAAGCCACACTGTTCAAACACTTGCACAGAAAACATCAGCAAAATTATCCTGCAGGACAGGCCTGACTTTTTTTTCATTTGTTCTCTGTCACATTCCTTCTCTCATTTTGCAGTCAGTTAAGCTTCCTCTCCTTCTTTGGATAGGTGTCATTCTTTCAGAAGCTAAAAGAATCCGTATACCATGGGGTGATCACTGCATGTAGTGGAGCAACTAACACAGAGATCACCTTTTCTTACTAACCAAAAAGAAGTAAATATCTGCAAAGATTAGGGCTGTATGCACATCAAAATTTCAGTGATCGGCAAGCCAATCACATCCCTAACTGCTGGACCATCTCTCCTGACAGAGCAATGAGTTTAGAAAGCTCTTCAAAAATTAATCTTTAAGTCTAGCCTGAGGAAGTGTTTTTATATCCTCAGTTTTAATGAAGAGCAAGCAGAAAGAAATGTTTAGCATTATAACTAATGTCCTCTCTCTCTGATTTTTTACACTTGTAAAACAGGCAGTTGGTACTTAGATATTAAATGAAGGCCATAGAGAAATTGATTTTGATTACACATATAAGTAGGTAGATATTTCTCCACTATACAAATAGATAAAATGAGACACAGCTGTTAACTGAGTCTCCTCACTGACATAATAAATTAGGAATTAACTTATCAGTCCCTCAAGAGGCACTGTTCAAGTAAAAAATACTTAAAAATAAGTAACGTGCATTTTGTAATGTCTTCAGGAATTCAGTGTCTCTGTGTTTTAAGGCTTCAAGTATGATGTACCAATTATCCAGCATTTGGCAATATCCATTTGTAAGTTTGTAGAATTCCTCAACATCAGATTTTCTAAACTGATTTATATGACAGGTGAAGAAGAAACAGATTGTGCATACCTAGAGCAGTTTTAAATTAATGGAAAGATATTTATATTTCTTCCTTTTCAGCCAAAAATCATGTTACAACACAAATAAGCTAAAGATGCCATAGTGTGAAGCATTTTAAAGAAAAACTAAACTAATATTTGAGGCAGACTTAGTACCACATTCTCATAAAGTCACAGCCCTGAAGGGTAAAAGAAATTAAAACATGTTAAGGCTACTTTTGCTTTTCATAGCCCAGCAGAATGTGTTTACACCAGTCACACCGTTAATTGTCTGAATGCCTAAAAATGCCTAAAAAATTGAATTTTGTATTCAGATATTAAAAATAAACTACTGTTTTTACTCTCTATTTTTTTAATGGTTTTCTCTAAAGTTTATTGTACTTCAGACTCTGTATTATAAGCCATGAAGAGCAATTATATCCTAAAGTATGGTGATCACTGCTGAATATGATACTTCAGGTGAAGTATATAACTAGTAATCAGGCATTATTAATTCCATTTAGTTTGATTTATCATCTGTTTCTCCAGGAATTAAATATAGTATTCTCTCTGACATGTGTACTGTAGTTAGAAATTCAATAGCATGCTAGAAGAGATTGGTATGATAATGCCTTGTTGGTCACTACATTGCAGCTTTCTTTAAAGTGTTAACTGTGAGTAAACTATTTGCCTACTTATATATATGTAAATATTAATAACTGAAACTTTTGACCTTGACAAATTGTGATCACTAGTACTTGAGCTATCTTGAATCACTTCATTTGCGATATTCTCATTAGATAGTCAAATTAGCTCTAAAATATACCTTCTAATTGCCTCTAAAAAGGATCCTGGTCCTCTGATGAGTTGACACACTGTTTTGACACATGTAGCTGATTTTTTTTTTTTTTTTGTGTGAAAGCTTTTTCAGCTGAAAAATCCTTTTCCATAATGAAAATTTTCAATTAAAATATGGTTTCATTTTACTTTCCCAACAGTGAAAAATATAAAATTCCATTTTTATTTATCTAATCTAATTTTTAAATTTTGTTTTCTTTATCTTAATCTCCCTTTGTTTTTCATCCTTCACTTTGTACTATTATCTAGTCAAAAGATGGAAAACACTAAGAAGCTAGGCAACAGTTGCCTCATATTGCACTTTTTCTAGAATTGCTGTTATATAGTTACTTACAACCTACAATATTTGTTTTCCTAGAAGTGTATGAGTTAAATAATGGGGTTGGTAAGGAGATGTGAATCAAATGGCAAGAGAAAGAGGAAGCACATGGAAGTCAGGAAAATGTTGTCAGTTAGAACTGTGGTCTTCATGACCATACTCATTGTTACTGTAGTGGTAGGAGCCGGGCCCTCCTTGTGTTATGTTCAAGATATATAAAAATAGTGACTTAGAAGGATCTGAAGTTCTAGCCAGACTTCAGGTGTGCCACTTGGCTGCTGCCTAAGCTACAGACACGAATTTCCTAAGTGCCACAAATTTTGATAGCCACTGAAGTTCTTCATGCACTGATAGCTGTACTTTCTTGCACATCCCAGTGTGCACCAGATGTCTCTGGCACCTGTCCTATGCTTAAGGCCAGCATGAATCTAAGCTTAGATGATCTCTCAGCAAACTTACTTCAGAGCCTCAATGCAGCAAAGGGGCCAGCATACCAAAAGTAGCAAATTCCACTGGCTTTCAAAGCAGAAACTGACATGGCATGCCTGCCATATCCATAGGTTGATGACTGCAATCCTCCAACTGTTATAATCAGGCTGAAAAATAATTAGCCTGGTGGGAAAAGGAGAATTAGCCACATTAGTGGTTAAGATAATGTTATTCAACAAAGCATGTGGCTGATAAGGCAAGTGAGCTGTGGGGACAAGACACAAGACACTTGAGGAGAGAGCACTTTCTTTGACCAGCCCAACTGCTGACAAAACAAATGTGGAACTACATGCTCATCTCCACTTGTGACCTGGTTCCAGTTCAGCAAAACTCTTAAATACACATCCAGGTGCCACTAAGGAAGCAGACGTCTGTGTGCACTTCATGAGGAGCTAACACTGTACATCAACTCTGATTCTGGCCCATTAACTATGCAGCACTTAATAAAGTGCTTAAGGCTTACAGCCAAAACTATATAGTTGGAAAATATACCTGTCTTCCCAAATATAGTCAGGACTCAGGAACTACAGAAGTAAATAAGGCTAACAAGTTAAGTTTACTCAATCACTAACGTTTTCATAAAATAGAATAACAGAATCATTAGTGTTGGAAAAGACCTCTAAGATCATCAATCCCAACCATTAACCAAAACAGTACAGTTTCAGCGGCCTGGTTAGAAGCACAAAATTTTGTTGTTCTATCCACCCCACTTCTTAATGGTCTGGTTGTTAATATATAACCCTGGAAGGTGGGTAATTGAAATTCTTTCAAGCTGAAGAAGGATGTGAATCCAGCTACACTTCTTCCCAGAATGCTCATCTAACAGGACCTCTTAAATAATAAGAATTGTTTAATTCTTCATTATTTAATCTTTTGAAAAGAAAATATTTTAAAAAACTATATATACATTCTGGAAAGATCAGCAACCTGTGACTACAGTGTTGGACACAAGCATCTCTATAAAATTCAACACAGCACAGCTCACCTCAGTATCTTTTTTAGCTTGCTGTTGGAAGATGTCTGCTGTGCTTGCTGGCTTTTCTGTGTCCTATTCTGAGGTCTCTAAATCTGCCACAGGGAGGACCTTGAAGTTGGGAATGAAGTAGCACAAGTCCTGTCTCAGAGCTAGCCTTTGAGACTTAGCAAACATTTCCTGAGTCATTGCTGTTTCCTGACATTGCTGTTTCCTGAATCAGGGTCTACAGAGGAAAACTCACAGCAGCTTTAGAAGAAATTTCAGGTCTTGCCACTTTAATCACAAATTGAGAATTAACTAATCACTTTAAAGTTAAACAACTTCTAAAATTACTTTCTATAAACAGATGCACTATTAAAGCTGTTTTGTTTTTAGAGTGATTTTGGAGATGTTAATTTGCATGATCAATTAGTAGAGAGCATGAGAAATACATGTGGCTATATGCTAACATTTTAAGTTTTTATTTAAACAGAACAGAAACATACCCTCTTTGATACTCGGATGACCTTCCAGATTTCCATGTACAGTATCTATGGATTTTTAAGCATAATTAACAACTTCCATTTCAGTATTTAAGAGCTTCAAGTTCTGTTTCTTTGACAGTCAAAAGCTAATCAATCTTGTTCTCAAATGCTAATACAAGCAATTAAAAATAACATTAATTGAAATACTGCAGGGGCTCTTAGTTTTTTTTCTTAACCTCATGGCAACACTAATTTACAGTACTAATTAGTGAATTGCCCTTTGTATTATAAATCTTTAGAAGGGAGAACTGGCCTTTAAAGCCCAACAGAGAGATGCAGATGGTCACTGCAGTTTCAGTAAGCTTTCATACTAACTATCAGGATATTCATTTCACCACATAACTAAACATGATGGATTACATTGTTTACAATGAAGAATATTAATTTCTGCAAAGAAAAATGTGTTGCCCATTTTTCCTATTGTAAAACATGCAAATATTCTTTATATAATAAAGTATATTCTGCCCAGTTTTCCGATTGGAAGAAAGACTGTAACTACCTCATGTGAAACAAAGGAGAGAAAGGTAAATGGGCAATATGTTATAAAATGGATCAAGACAACCTATGAAATATGGATAAAAATATATAACATACTGATTGTAAACAAACATAATTTAAAACTTCTTGCTGAGCAATTAAAAATTCAAAAGAACAAAAAGTAAAATTAATACTTATGAAGTAACAGTTAGAAAATTATTCCTATTTTCCTTAATGATTCTTTTCCAGTTTAATTTGTTGTAATGGCCAGTTTTATTCTGTAAACCAAGGCAGTTAGAATAGTTTCTTTTCCAGAAAATTACCAAAGGCTCAGGTGGTTCCTTGATTTAGGAACAAGACTGGGATTTTTTAGTGATCACACTATAATCTAAGTAAATAAGAATACTGATTTTTCCTTGGAAGTTCCATTGTAGCATCATTCCTACACATAAATGTGAAAGTACACTTAGGTCCCTCTATAGTCCCGCAGGCTGATTTTTCATGTTATTTTCATGTATTGTTATTGTGGATTTTGGAAATCTGATACGAATTTTTCACTTTTGTCGTGGTTTAACATAGGTTCGGTATTTAGTTAATGAAAAATCCCCGATCTATGGAAGTGATCCCCTGTAAGGACCTTGGCAGCTTCCTTCAGACCTGACAGAACCAGCCAGCTAGCTGGTTTTGAATATTGATACCCTGTTAAACCACTTAAGAGGGCTAATGCGCCTCTGAAATCTCACAGAGATATATTTACACGTACTTACCCAAGACGAACAAGCCCCGGGAAAACTCTCTCGCTCCCGGCCTCGGAACAGGTCGCTGGCCAGGCCGGGCCCTGCTTTGCTGCCACAGAGCTCCAACCACGGCCCAGAGCCGGGCCGGGAGCTGCCGAGCCGCCCTGCTGGCCCCGTGGCAAACCCCAGGGCTGAGAAGAGAGGCAGCCCGGCAGCCTGGAGCTGAAAGCAGCTGGGATTGACCGCGGCAGGGCCGGACACAGCCGTGCAGCCCGGGCGGCCCTGCCCGGCAGAGATCACACGGACATCCGCAGGCCCGGGAGAGATACTGGCTCTTCTAGTGCACAGAAAAAACTTGCAGACATCAATCCTCTCTAGTGAGATAAAAATGACAGGGTGAAGACATATAAAGAAAACAACCTGGAGACACCAAGGTCGGTGAAGAAGGAGTCAAATCCCAGATGGCAGGAGGATGAGGAGATGCCTTAGTCTTGGGCTGATATTCTTTTGTAAGGCTATGGGGAAGTTATAATTGATACATCAGATTATTTTGGTTTTCCCCTGTAACTTGTGGAATGCACTGGGGCATGTATCATTCTAACCCCAGCCATGAGCAGAGGCACTTGTGTTGAAGCAAGCAGATGTTGAATAGCTGTGATCCATTGAGAAGCTTGAAGAGAGAGATGAGAGAGATGAGAAACCTTGCCCCAGGGATGGACAAAGAAAACCTCTGTTCCCAGAGATAAAAGAACTTTTGTTTCTTTACTAGAACGGTTTATCCTTAAAATTGCACACCAATAAACTGAGAAGCCCCATGGTTGTAGTTGTGGGAAGATTGCCAAACCATGGGAGGTACTTTGTGATTGCAGATTTCTGGGTGGCTGCTATTCGTGAAAATTAAAACCATGAGAGAACTGTTTCTTGTGGAAAAATCTCCATGGCATGGTAGAAGAGACTCCTCTCCCTAAGTGAACTAAGGAAAGATTATTTTAAAAGTGGTAAACTGACTGAAAATACCAAATTTTTTCTTTTTATGTTTTCAGTGAAAAAAGAGGAGTTAGGGGGAAGAGAACTGTTCTTAAGGATTATTCTGAATTCTTATTATTTTTCTTTTAGTTAATAAAGTTTTCTTTATACCCTTTAACATTTTGGCCCTGCTTTGCTCTCCTCTTAATCCTTATCTCACAGCAGAAAATGAGTAAATAATTCTGGTAGGTGCACTGGCGTTTGGCCAGCACTAGACCCACTACATTAATTGGTGCATTGGCCAGGAAACTTGGATTGGCAAACCAAAAGCACTACAGCTTTTTAGTAACAGCTGAATGGAAATACATCGTCTTGAATTTTCCACAGAAGACATCGTCTGTGCCATGCAGAATACCTGCTGTTATACTCCATATATTCACTGGGCCACAGCAATGGGCAGGTAAGAGAAGATACTGTTTGAGTAACATGAGAGGTGAGGTGAACACAGATAACTACAGAAAAGTATCATAAGCCAAGTCAATCCCTGAGAGTTTATGTCTGATATATAGGGGTTGCTACTGAAACTCCAGCCTTCCAGAAATGCATATATTCCTCTTAGAACAATGGCAGGTCCTAACTGCCACCAGGAGAATAATTGGTATGTTTGACTTCTTGCTGATGTCATCCCTCACAAGCAGATGGCATATATACAGGGAGATCCCCATTTAAAACATAGCACTCTTAGGGCTCTGGATTTGAACCTGCCAATAAACCAGGCAGCCTTAGAAAAAGTGTGAAAATAGATTTTAGACCTTTACTGGGATGTCACTGTTTAAGCAGTAAGAAAACAGGATTGTAAAGACAGGTAGGGTAATGATTAGTTACTAATAAATGCTGCATTAAGTAACCTTTATTTCAATTGATTACAACGTGTTCCTGAAGATGAGTATTAGGATCCTCTCCTGACAGCTTTGTTCCAGACAAACTTGTATGTAAATAGCCACAGCAGAAATCTGTACTGGCTGCAAGTTTATACTCTGGTTCTTTGGCTGAAGCTGAAGCACTCAAAAATAATGTAGCGGAGCTTCTCTGAAGTGCAGGATGATGATGGCCTTAAGAGATCCACATACTTGCACATTTTTAGTACTGGGTATGTCCACATTAACAGGGATTGTGCTGTTAGCACACAGATTCCTGTATGCAGAGGCAACATGGGCCATATGGGCCTCTGTAGGCCTCTGCGTGCTGAAAGGAGCTAGACAACCAAATTTAAACAAACACAGGATCATAAAGTGGTTGGGTTGGATAGGATCTCTCCCACTAGGTCAGGTTGCTCAAAACCCCCTCCAGCCTGGCCTTGAACACTTTTAGGAATGGAGCATCCACAGCTTTGTAGTCTAACCTCTGTGCCAGAACAATTCTGGGAAAATCAGCTCTGCCATCCAAAAGATCAGGAAGCTAACATTAGGACATAGGCCAAATATTGAAATATTGTTGCAGCTCATATCTCAGTGAATTCCTAGATCCTGAGAAACTGAACTGAATAGAGGTGACATGTGCCAGCTACTGAAAAAGAAAGAGCAATTTTGAGATCAACCATCAGTGTAAGTTCTGAATGTAAAGCACTTATTTTTCATTTAGTTCCTTCCCCATCTGTAAAATATGAGATGATACTTAGCATCCTGGGTCTTAGAAAATCACATTAAAGAACAAGCATGAAAGATTCTCCTCAAAGTAGAAGAAAAATATTATTACTTTTTCCTCTTTTCCTCCATCTCAAATGCCAAAATGAAAAAGTCTTGATTCAAGGACAACACCTTGATGCAACACTGCAAGAGGTAAAATACACATGTCCTTTGTAAGAATAGAAAAGTACAAAGCCAACAACCCTACTTGTTTGTATATTGTCTCCCTGTCAATTTGTGAACAGCTGCAGATTGCAAGCATTGTGTATAAAGGTAAAACAACTTGTTTTTAATCTAAGCATCAGAGCTTTGTGATTTTTTTTCCCCCTAGCAAGTTACAGACTTTACATGTGACTTTTTCTTATTGTAGATCCTTTTCATTAAAAAAAAAAAACAGTTAAACTTTTCCTCTCCATTGTCAGAAGCAGGTTAGCTAGTGCAATGAACCTCTTAAAATTAAAGTGTGCTAAAGCAAGGGATCTATAACAAAATTTGAATCTGTTATATTTAGGATGAGCGGAGATGGCCTCAGGTTTCTCCAGGGGAGGTTTAGATTGGATATTAGGAAAAATATCAACTTGCTTGCCTAGCATTAGGAAAGGCTTGCCTAGCATTAGGACAGGCTGCCCAGGGAAATGGTTGAGTCCACCACCGCTGGGGATATTGAGAATGACTGTAAATGTACCGCTAAGGGACATGATTCAGTGGTGGACATGGGAATTATAAATTGATAGTTGGTCTCAATGATCTTAGAGGTCTTTTCCAACCAAGATGCTTTTGTGATTCCATGATCTTACGGGAATAGAATGTCAACATTATTTTGCCTGAAAACTTTTTACCTACTCCAGCTCAGGCTGGGCCCTTCTAAGTTGAGGTTAATTTGAATTGCACCTAAGGTAGGCTGGTGCTCCATGAAATTAAATACTCCTGAGATACCCATCTGAGAGAGACTTCCTTTGTTTCTTCCTTCTCTTTGAAGAAAGTGAGGAGCCAGGGCAGTGACTTGCTGCTGGTGCTACAAGGCTCCACATTAGTACCACTATGGTATTTCAAGGGGTGGGATTTTGTTCCATTCTTCTGCTGCTCTTTCTCACAAAATTTCTCTGGGCATGCAGGAGCGTTTAATCAAATTTATCAGAGGGATCACATAAAACCAACGTGAAATGTATATGGGTTCACATTTTTGTATTCCAGTTTTAAATGAGTAAATACTCCAAAATGCAATACTTACACTTTATAACCTGTCTTTCTACGTAAATCAGGAGATCAGTCTTTCCCTGCTGCTCATAAAGAATTGGCAGTAAGGTTGGCAGACCTGAACACTGTGCTCTTTTAATCATGGAGGTTGTTCAACTACCCTTCTCCACACTTATACAAGTTCTGGTGTAGTGTGTGTTGGAGTACCATAGTAAGACTTCTTAAGACACCATAAGCTTCTGTAGTGGGTTGACCCTGGCTGGGTGCCAGGCACCCACCAAAGCCACTATCACTCTCCTCTGGATCTGGACAGGGGAGAGAAAATATAATGGAGTGTTGAGATAAGGACAGGAAGAGATCACTCACCAATTACTATTATGGGTAAAACAGATTCAATTTTAGGACATTCACTGAATTTATTATGAACAAAGTCAGAGCAGAGAAATAAAATAAGTATTAAAAACACCTTCCTCTTATTCCTCCTTCCTTCCCAAGCTCTACTTCCTTCCCTCAGAAGGGCAGGGACATGGGGACTGGAGGTTACAGTCAGTTCATCACACCTTTTTCCTGCTCTGAATGAGAGGAGCAGAGGAGTCCCCTGCTCCAGAGTGGGGTCCCTCCTACAGGAGACAGTTCTCCGCAAACTCCTGCAGCTTGAGTCCATCTCACAGGCAACAGGTCTCCACAAACTGCTGCAGCGTGGGTCCAGTCCTTCAGGCACAGCCTGCTCCAGTGTGGGTCTCCCACAGGGAGAAAGAAAACCTGCTCCAGCATGGGCTCCTCTCTTCATGGGTCTGCAGGGCCTGGCCAGCAGCCTGCTCCAGCACAGGTTTCCCAGGGATTCACAGTCCTCTCTCGGGCATCCACCTGCTCTGGCACACCTGTGGTGTGCCACATCACCACCTCTTCAACACCTGTGGTCCTCCAGGGGCTGCAGGGGCACAGCTGCTTCACCATGGCCTGCACTATGGGCTGCAGGGGAGTCCCAGCTCTGGTGTCTCATGTACTTCCTCCCCCTTTTTTCCACTGACCTTGGTCTGCAGTGCTGTTCTCAATATTCTCAACCCACTCTTCTCTGGCTGCAATTACACCTGTACAATAACATTTTTCATTCTTAAATATGTTGCCACAGAGGCATTACTATCATTCCTGATGGACTTCGGCCCAGTGGCAGGTCCATCCTGGAGCTTGCTGGCATTGGCTCTGGGACATGGGAGAAGCCTCTGGCCACTTAGCACAGAAGCCACCCCAGTAGTCTCCCAGCTACCAAAACCTGGCCACGCAAACCCAACACAGCTTCTCTCCCTTTCCTTCAGCTTTATCTGTTAAAACCAATCTGTGCAGCATCCTATCTCTGTTCTGTAAGCTAATGAGTACAAGACAGTCTTTCTTTCCCAGATACAAATTTTTCAAGACATTTGGGAGCCTATTTTGGGTGATGGCTCAGTATTGTAAAATTCAAGCTGAGTTAAACAGAAAATTTAGAATTCTTTAAGTGGAACTTCTTACAATTTCCTCTCAATGTGAGAAACTTTATTATATCCCTATCTGAAATGCACTGTGTGTATATTAAGTATAAGGCTACAAACCAATTCTCAGTTACATTCTGCAGCACAGTAGTCAAGCAGCATGCATGATTTACCCCCCCACACAAACTCTAATATCCAATTGTTTTTTAAGTAATATACATATGCATATGAAACAAAATAGTATAGCCACATTATTGTTTGACTTCTCTATGTGACAAATGTTGTGGTGCAGGTTTTTAGCTAAATAAGGCAACCATTCAGGTCTTTGTTCTTTCATTAATACCAGATTGTATTGCCCTTTTCTGTATCATATCAGAGGCTTGGCCACTTGTCTGTCTACAGAACTCTGATGGTGGATGTGAGACAAGAGTAACAAAAATTACCAAGGAACCATTCCCTGCATAGCTGTTTGGAGATATTTTTTGGAAAAAGTATCAAGAGAAATTGCAAGAAACTTTACAATGCTTATATAACCCAGGTAATTAAAACCAGGTAAAAATTAAGAGAAGAGAGCCTGGATTATTTTGACTGGTTTAACTAAGAAGATAAACCAAATCTAAACTGCTTATTTCTTCTATATTCCTAGAAACATAAGCCTGCATGTCACTTATAATATATATGCTCAATCTTTAAAAGAAATGTAAAAGCAAAATCCTATCTCTGAAGATTAAAGGATATTGCTACCATAAGGCAAAGGGAGAAACAGAAAAAAATTAGTCCCTAAAAACACCACTGAGGCCACAGCTGCTACATTTATGTGGATTCAGTAGTGGA